ATCTGCAATATAAAGGCTGATCTTCAGAAGTTGAGGCAGAAGAAAAAGCCTTTGAGCTTGTGAGCCGTTTTTGGAGTCTGTGGTAAATCCACAGTGATGACAGCAACTATCCATTACTGATGATTCTTTCAGTACTTAGCAACTACACTATTATACCTGTATATTTTTAACAAAAGCTGTTTATGAGCTCTTGGCAGCTAGAGTGTGAAGCACACAACAGAAATCTTGATCAAAACAGATTTAAGCAGCAAATCTTATTGAGCGCTGAGCTAGACCTAAAGCCCCGAGTTGTTGATGTTGTGGGAAGTAGATACAAAGGCTTTCACAGTAATCATTGCTATTGTTTAGCACTTCATTTCAAGCCTGTTGTAAATCCAGCACAAGAGCCTTATCAGCCAAAGAGTGAACAGTGAGCCTGGAAGATTCCTCTTTGTGTTGAGAATGTAGTGGGAGGACACAACCACTACAGTATTTCTCCCCACAGTGTTTTTTAATGTAGTATAATTTCCTAATGTTCTATAAAGATTCCGAGTTTTGTATCATTGTTGCCTTTTTCAGCCAATTTCCGACAAACTTGTGTGCTGTTAAGTTCAAGTCCACTTAGGCATGTGTCTCTGAAATTGCTTTTGAAAGGCCAGATTACCACTTTGTTGAAATAGCATCTGAAGGCATTCATATACACAAATATACACCTACACATGGGTGACAGCTCTGTCCATCGCAGTCATTCACCCACACATGCATACAGCACAAACAAGAGGAAAAAAACCATTGACCTATCTGGCATGTGCTGATGACTCAGTATGGTATTAATCATGTTTGACGGAAATATAAACACCGATTTTCACAAACACGGACCCAGTCATACACACCCTGTCAGTGCTAATGTGCACAGACACCAACACATGGAGCTCTGTTCAGTGCAGTAATCTCATTACTTTCTCACAGGCAACACAAGTCATTAATAAAGTCATATCAAAGACATGATGTGAGGCATAATGTGAAACTTGTTTCAGTCAGAGACACTATAGCACCACATGGAGAAGCAGTTGACAGGAAAAGCTCGATGCTTGAGGAAGCTCACTAAATAAAGGCAAGCAGCATGTGAGGGCTATATAGATGATAACACAGCCGATACATCACTGAGATATGGAACATACATAATGCACAAGAGATGCTATCACAAGTATGGTAATAAGAAACCAAGCCAGGCGGAGGCTGGCTGGTCAGGGTTGACTTTGATAGAATTTTATTCACTTTATTTATGTAGTTTTTTTGGGCATGGGCAGACAAATTCTTTTTAATGCCTTTTGCAATGGTGAACTAGTTGCACTGGCAAGTCGATGCAGAGCACACACCCTCGAGTTATCAGATATGATGTCTTTATTTTGACTTGATACCTCATAGAGAGTTTTAAGTCCCTAACTTTGCTGTGCACTTTGTCACATATATTGCATTTCAGTTATGATGTTAAAGGTCCAGTGTGAAACATTCAGGAGGCTCTATTGGCAGAAATGGAATATAATATTAACAGGTATTGTCATTAGTGTATATTCACCTGAAAATAAGAATTGATGCTTACATTACGTTAGAATGAGTCATTTCTACAGAGGGGGCGAGTCTGCCATGTTGAAATGCCATGTTTCTACAGTAGCCTAGAATGGATAAACCAAACACTACTCTATTTGAGCCTTTTGCATTTTTCACAGGTTTTGGGGGCACTGTAGTTTCTCCTGCACCTTTTGTAGGCTGAATCAACTGTGTCAATATTCAGTTGACTGATATATGCAACGTCACCCCTAGATGCCACTAATTCCTACACACTGGTCCTTTTAATTAAAACATTAAAAAAATATATAGATCGTGGTGAGGCAATTTGAGGAAGACCTGCAGAAATAAGTACATAAACTTGTAATATTCCAAAGTTTCAATTTGATTAATGTGTAGTACATGTATTGCATCATTTCCACAGTAAAGTTTTTTTTAGCAATGTGAGTGGTACAATGGAATTGAGTTAGCATCCACCTATATTGTGTCATTAGTTGTAGAATACGGTTGTAAAAAAAAAATTAGAAATAAATATAAATACATTTTGTGCTTAATGAGCCCTGGTATTTTACCTGGAACAGGTTTAAGAATGAAAGCAGTTAACTGAACTATAGTGGAGGTGGGAGACCATCAGTTCCAACTAGTAACATCAGTGTGTAGCAGTGTGAGCCTGTTGAATTAATTTATACAGTCTACAGTCTTAATGCATGTCTGGTGTTTTACATAACGACACAGTGCAACAAAGTTGTCTTCTTAGCTCTGTATAAAACTGGCATACATTACACACAGTTACATCTTAGACAAAATCATCTTCAAAAGATTCATAAATCTGGTGCAACTCTTCAAAGAGATACATACTGTATTTTTCATGGGAACAGTTGTGAGGAGATGTAGTGTTGAAGCCACGCAGTTGGAAAAGGGAAGACAGTTTTGTTTTTGCAAAGGGCTGCCAAGAGCCTGACAAAACAGCACGGAGAGAAGTTCAGTGTAAGAGAGGTGGAGAGCGAAACCGAGATGAAGATTGAGTGCCAGAGAGAAAGCAAAAGCATGCAAAGAAAGGTTTTGTTACCAGATACGGAGAGAGGAAAACAGATGAAAAGTCAAAACACCCGGAGAAAGAGAGAGGCAGAATGAAATTGAGATCAATACATACCTGCAGCAGCGTGTATTTTCGTCTATGCACTGAGACTTAGTTTGGAATATCAATGGAGACTCTGCAGCCAAGATGGCAATGTGAGAAACAAAGCGGATCGGCAGAGAGGATAGACAGAAAAGACAGAGAGCCACAGACCGATAAAAGAGGAGCTGAAAAGAGGCAGATGAGGGAAATTAACGGCATGAGAGACAGAGTGGTCCCAGAAATAGGTAGCAAAATAACAGTACAAAATGGAAAGCTGTGACACGGGAGGACTGACAAAGAGAGAGATTGAAAGCCAGACAGAGAAAGTTGGACAAATGGAAAGACGGAAAAAATGAGTTTCCGACCGGTGAGATGAGAGATTTGAGAAGAGGCGTGAGATAAATGAAGAAGTACAGTGGCCGGTGTCGAGGGAAAGACTTGCAAGACGGAACGCAGCAGTGACCAGAATTGATATGAGAGGGAAAGAGCCTGTCTGGTGTTGATACAGAGGGAGAGAGTAATATCTGTCTTAGAACAACACTTTTACAGGTGGCAGCTAAAGTCACAGTTTACAGTTCTACTAAAGGCTGGGAGAATGTTTTTTATATTCTCCAGTCTGCTGTCTGATCTCTCTTTTACTCTCCCTCTCTATCTCTGATTGTCATTCTGTCTATACCACCTCTCCATCTATTTGATGTCAGAATTGATATCTCTGGTGAAAAACACAGATCAAGATACAGCATAGACCCGTCCATGTCTTGTTCTTTTTCCCACTCTGAGGTATTACCCTAGTAGTCCTGGGTTTATCACGTCTTCACACAGACTACTGTAGAACTCCTGTGTTTTTATCTCTTCCCTCAAAATCCATTTTTAGTCAATAACATGCCAAAATAAATGTCATTGAACTTTGCAGACCCACAAGTCACGTCTTAAAAAATCTTACGCTGGTGTTTGGTAAAATGATTAGGGTGCCTTCACCCAACCTGTTTGGTGTGGTTCAAACAATGACTCAGTTTGTCTAGACTGGTGTGAAAGCTGTCAATCAAACACTGGTGCAGACTTAACCTGAAAAGAAGGGTCTCAATCCCCTTCCATCCAAACTCTGGTGTTGGTTGTTTGTGGTCCGCAAGTGTGGGGAATTTCCCAGATACATCAGAAAATAAAAATAAGTTGATTAGTCAAGTCAAGTCAACTTTATTGTCAAGTATGCTATACATGCACGACATACAGCATGATGAAACTTAGTCGTCTCGGACCCACGTTTGCAAACAAGCATAAAAAATACATTTTCTATATAATAGAAAAAAGACATAAAATAAACAGTCAACAAGACATAAAAAAAAATTTAAAAAATGCTGTACTTCTGTCCAACTGTACCTCAGTCAGTTATGAGGCATTACGGTGTAAATTAGTGCTGGCTGAATTCCATTTAGCTGCTTCAGTTTCAGGAATGTGGCGTTGCACATGCTGGCTTAGGCGGCATTCATGTATTATCATAATTTACAAGTTTCCAACTTATAAATATGTTCACGTCAATATCAAAGTCGTTATTACAACTGGGAAACTCCGATATTTCTTTGCACCTAATCAAACAAAAGTGCCTGAAAAACAAGCAAACAAGGACGCCTCACATCAACTAGATACTGTAGTTCAATGTAATTGAGCCCAAATGTGAAGGATATGATGTTGTATTGTCAATTCACATTTTTAAACAACTCATGTTAACATCACGGCTTACTGGGACTCTTACTAATGTGATTCCTAACACCTGTGCTTTCCCTACCCTGCTGTGAAAAAAGGTCTACTGGGAACTCCACATTACAGTCCCATAACATACATTTGATTTTGGAGTTAAACACACATGGGCAGCTGATAAAGCACTAATTTAATGCAGTGCAATGAAAAAGGTTTGCATTTGTGTAAAGTACATAATTCTCAGACACTGATTGATAATTGATTTATTTATTTATTACACAGCTACATTGCACTGAGGCTAAATGAGTCCCCTCTGAAATCTCTGCAAGTTTCTCTGCCCTCCACCAAGTGCATGCTGGGAAACGTTCCAGCCCAGCCTGAGGGTAAAAAGAAATAAGGAAAAGAAGGAAACATTGTGCTTGTCTCACTCCACTAACTTCACTTTTTTTAATTTCACCAAGCACTGCAGTCTCTTTTTATTACTTTAGCTGGACTTGTGAGCTATGCAGCCATGTATTAATTTCAATTTTCTAATATAATCTAATTTCTGTCCCTTCCTCCTTCACACTCTCCATCCTCTTCTGTCCTCCCCACTTGTTCCAATCCTCCCCTTCTCTCTGGCTTTGTTTATTCTCAGGTGGAGCTGGAGAGAGGGAAGACTCTCCACATCAAGGCGCTGGCACTGGGTGACCTGAACAAGGCCGGCCAGAGAGAGGTCTTCTTTGAGCTCAACGGACAGCTGAGATCCGTGCTGGTTAAAGACACCGTCGCCATGAAGGTACACAGAAGGGATGGAGGGAGGTATGGGTTGGTTAGTAGATGAGTAAACGATGGATGAGGTATAGTTGGAATGGTTTGAAAGAAGGATATATGTCTGCAGGGAAATGATGAATAGATGGAAAAGGGTGAGAGGAAAGGGAGAAAAACTGATGTTGGATCTAAGCAAAAAGAATAAAACATTTTATGACCGTGCACTTGGCAACTACGGGTGATTTTTATTCATAGAAATAAATGGTTGTGAGGGGTAGACGGAGGCTCAGCAGGGAGGAATGTCTCAATGGGTGGCTGAATGACTTTATGGATGGATCATTGGCTGGATAAGTGGATAAATGGAGGCAGCACTGTGTGGATGACTTGGAGAAATTATCAGATGGATGCATGAAATCTCTCTTTGTTCCTTCACACAGGAAATGAAGTTCCATCCTAAGGCTCAGAAATCCATCAAGGGTCAGGTTGGAGCACCCATGCCTGGAAAGGTGCTGGAGGTCAAGGTGGAAGTTGGATCGAAGGTTAGTTTGTTAATCTGCTGTATTCTTCAAGCTCAACATGTCAGTTTTTATCAGATTTGATTAGCTTGGGTTAAAGGGTCAGTTCACGTTTTCTTCTATACATTTCAATTACAATATCAATTTAATTAACAGCTGCCTGTTAAATGATAATGGAAAAAGCAATTATGAATCTGATTGTGTCAGAACAGTCAGCAAGGAGACTGAACATTTAGTGCAATGAACATCACATTCATTCATCATTGTTCGCAACGGAATAATGGAATAAGTTCCTTCCAACTTCACTAAAACAAATACTGATGAACTTATTGATGCTATGGATGATGTATAAAGTCAACAATTACTTACAAATTAACTTGCTACAAACTCGCTCTTCTTCCTTTGTTTCATGCCTTCATTGTCCCAGAGTAGCCGGAGCCACTGGGTCCCCCGACCCTTCGCGAGTAGAGTTTAAACTCCCTCTGTCCTTCCAGCTCCCAGTCCACTTACAGTCAGCTAATAGGACTGCTAACTAGCTAGTGACAGCAGCCGGTACAGTAAGCAGATGCAACAGTGCACCGGTAAGAGACTCCCTATGTTATAAGAGGAAAGGTCAGTGTTGGAACAATTCCCTGATACTTTCGTCCCGTTGATCAAGCGCCGCTCCTAAATGTTTTTCTGCGACTATCTGACTATCTGTGATGGAACATTGTGCTTTTTATTTTGGCACCCACTAGAGAGTCAAGGTGTCACCTATTTTTTCCCACGGGGGTTCCCAGCAGAATAGACAGTGAAAAGGGTCTGTTCATAGTCATATCGATACTACACCAGCAACATATACATCTTTACAACAGTTTCAATGTCTATATCTATAGAATATGTCACAGACAAACAAAATATAACTGTATTTTTTAAACTCAACCCAGTCCTTCAGATTAAAAGCTCTCTGGTGTTTCTGTGGACAGAATCCATTCATATGAGGCTTTTATTGTATGGAATTTTTAAAAGTGTTGTTCAAAGTGTTATACCGAAATTACTTTTCAAATAATGGTATGTGTGAACATACCATTAAGCCACAGTTATTTGGGGTTCTTATTTTGGTCTTTTTAAAACAGTTAAATAAATAATTAGCATAGGGCTGCTAGCTATATGACACAGTGGTTTTAGAACGACCAGTAAAAAAAGGCACACTCATACAGTTGTGAACATAACGCCACTGGCAAAAAAAAAAGGTAATTGGTTGCTAGAGTAACATGTAAGTGGAATCTTGGTTTCTTGTTTTTTAACTAATACAGGGCCATTATACAGGGCAGGTCTATAATACATAAAACATTTGACTCAATAAATATAACCATAGGTTATCAATAGTTCAGATTTCATTGTAAATTTATTGTGTACACTCTCATGGTCTTGCAACAGCATACTGTATTATACAGTATGTATAACCCTTAGGTAGAGTATCATGATACTAAACTTGATTTTGTTACCTTGTGAAATGTCCAGTGTTTAACATTTAGAAAGGATCTATTGAGATGCACAAACAAAAACATTGGACTGGAACTACTTAACACTTAACTAGGTGTCCTATATCAGGAATTAATGGAACCCTGCAGCCAGTTAGAATAGAGTATTCATCTTAAACCATGGTATAGAAAATGTACTACCAATGCAATGCCTAAGTTCCAGTACCGATACAAAGAATATTCTTTTTTTGGTTACCCTTGGTAAATAAATAGTCTGTTTTTAAACTTGTTAAATGTTGTCTAAACACAAGCAGTTGTACAAGAACTCTGCCTAAACAAAAGAGTTGGTAAAAGTCTGATTTTATATTGTTCGTACTCAGATATGTTAAGCCCTGTACTTTTCTTGTTAACCTCAGCTACAGCACTTGTTCAGTGGTCTGCACATTTGACTCGTGTTTTTAATGCTCTGTGAACTGTCTTTATAATGGTGAAAGGTGGAGAAGGGTCAGCCGCTGTGTGTCCTCTCGGCCATGAAGATGGAGACCGTGGTCAACTCCCCGGTGGCAGGGACGGTGAAGGTGGTCCATGTCATGACCGATTCCTCCCTGGAGGGAGATGACCTGATACTAGAAATCGAGGAGTAGAGTTAGAGGGAGGCAGGGGGAGTATTAGTGGTAGGAGGCGGGAGTTAGACAATCTGATTCTGGAAATGGTGAGGTGGAGGAACAGAGGGGATTAGGAGGAAAAACAGGAATCCTTTTCGTCAAAGGCAAGTCTCATCTGTGGCAGTACTGCAGAACATTTTGGCCCGCAATTTGTACATTTTCTGTTTGCTTATGCATATCCAGACACCTGATTGGTGTTAAGAGTAGATAATATGGCAATCCTAAATAATACATTAATTTGATAGGAACTCCTTATTGAATTGTACAACTAATCAAACTCTGCTTAATTCTCCCTAGTACTCCCTACATGTGGTGATTAGGTCATAGCAGTTCCTCAGTACAATTATTAATGTCTTAATTTGTGGAAAATGATATATTTTAGAAAGATATATTCAAATTGTGATACATTCCATTACTTAAATAATAGTCTTATTGTGTGTAACACTAACAGGGTTGTAACATCCACTTGCAATTAAATGCCACAGTTTCCATTTCAGTGCTGTTGATGTTGCCTAATATATTCAAAGTGAGTAGGTGAAACTTTATATTGATGACTACTAAATGTTTTTCTTTGTAATCAGCACAGTTCAGACAAAGAAAGATAGACTTAAAGATGTATTACCAGATATTTTTTTCATATGGAAACAATATTTTCATCTTTGGGCATTCTCGCCTTTTCAACACATTTTTGTCATTAGTCGCACTGCATCCTCAGACTGTGTAATCACTGATTTAGACTCACTTTTTTTGCATGTAAAAGAAATTCAAATTGTTCTTTGGAAAACACGAAGTCCAGAGTGGCTGAAGGAAAGAAATCACAATGACCAACCTGTTTTTGATATATATGATACAAATATTTTCACAATTAGAGAAGCACAACACACAAGTGGCACCATGTTATGTTTTTGGGACACAAATGTACATGCCAGAAACGTCCAATATTACAATAAAGTGAAAATGTATTCTGTTACTGTATCAGTAATAGTAGATGGTTTATTTCTTGATAGATCTGTACTGGTGTTGAGAATGTTTCCCTATTCACAGCTGTCTTTAAAATCCCAGAGCAGAAGCATGCTGTGGCAACATTGTTGAAATGAAGCTGTAGGCCATGTTGGAAACACCCAAACAGGATTAGGTGTGATTTTTATAAAGTACCTCTGTTATAATCTAAAAAAATGGCCTTCTTAATCCAAAGCCGGCTGTAGGGTGGCCCACTAAAACCAATTAATCATTTAAAAAGGTGTAAAGTCAGAGTTTGTATGGTGGCTTTTGGGCCTTTTTAGTTCAATGTTGGAAAGGAGGAGTGGTTCCACCCTGTCTTTTCAGAACCAGGCAGAGATTATGGTGAATGGCCTTCTGTCTGGATGGGGATTTTAATGCTAGGTGTAAATGGGATTACATGGTGGTGTAATGGAGGCATGTGATATTTTCTGAGGCTCTGCTGATTAATTTATGAATTAATTCTCTGTCAAATGATGTGAAATTAGCCGGACTAATAAGAGACTCTGGAGACTCCCAGTAGCAGCACTCAGCTTTATATTTCTAATGCGTGTGTGTGTGTTTGCATAAATGAGTCTAAATGGCTGTGTGTATGTGTGTGCAAGCAAGCAAATTTTAAGACAGTCTCCATAATGTTGCACCTCCAGAGCTGAAAACACATTGTAAAAGAAATGAAATATTCATACACATGCACCAATGCAAAATACTCACGCTAACACTCCCAGTCCTTGAGTGCTGCCTGGATCAAAAGGAAACAAAACCAAATACACTGCACAGTGGTGTGGCTGCATCTCCATAGTAACGCTGTATCCGAAACATTTAACGGCAATGCAGCAATGACCCCACTCAGTTTTTTGATGTAGTTAAATACTGAATTAAACCCACAAGATTCAACTTGTCAACTGTCAGCTGCAGGCCTTTTAACTATTTCAAGGAAACCGAGGCCAAATTGAATGTTTAACTACCATGACCAGTAAAAGTAGACCGTGGACAAGCAGGAAAAAATTGATCACATCAGTTATAGCCGGAACAGAAGTGTCACAATCTGCTTGTAATACAATGAAGCGTGCAGTGTTTGGCGAACCAGAAAAGAGACTACAAAGGTCTGTGCACGTTCAACAGAATACATCGACCCAAACACAAAATTAAAGTATCAGTTTGTACTTGACTGGATTGTTTCCAGCATTTTTGCTCCATTACCTCTGAGAATGAGTCCCCTTTTGAACCATGCATCAATACTGAGCAGCCATGCTGTGGTTAATTAGAACACTGATACGCCCACTGCCATGCCTCGCTGTACCCCCGACTTTATCAATCTGTTGAATGGGATGGAGATGCTGAAGTGTTTTTGACAAGCTGTTGCACAATAAATGTAAAGTTCCCTCCTCCTCTCCTTATTAGCTCTCCTTGTTAATCTGCTTTCCCTGCCTCATCTATTGATCCAACCAACCACCTTTTCTTCATGTTTTCTTCTCCATACCCCTCTACAGTGTAAATTTGCACATGTAAGATGATGACATTGACTCATGCAATAATGTAAACTGTATCGCTGTGTTTCTCTATGTCTTAGCCAGCAGTGATTGTAAAAACTGTGCTTATGACAATGTTCAGTGTCTGCGAAAAAAAAGAATAAATCAGATATAAAGTACACACAACTGAAGTTTTATTTGTTTCAGAAAGGGGCATATAACCTTGAGCTCATGCTATCAGGAGGTGAACTGTTGCTGAGGGTATGAAAATAGGGTCTGTGACATTTCTTTTCTTTCTATTGCTTTTCTTTGTGTGTTTTTATGAAAACAAACCAAACTGCTTATTTACTCTTAGTTTAGCAGGTATGACAGCCTCCAGATTTAAAATGTCTCAATGGAATTTGCATCATAAATGTTCACTAGATGTCAAGTTCTTATTTCTAAATAATCCTACTTACATATCATAATTTACTGAAGTAGTTTACATTTACTTGTTAAAGACCTAAGTATGTTGAAGTCCAATGAAGGACTATGAGCTGGAGCGCACAAAAAGGGAAACAAATCGTATCAAATAAAAGCGGTAATTGTTGTTCTATCTGTACTTACAAATAAAGTTAACTATAACTGAATCTGCTTTGTGTTGGTGTTTATTGCATATTCTACACAATAGGCAAGAATAAGGGCACAAGAAAGACTCAAGTGAAGGCCAGCTTTGGTTTGGAGCAAATATCATCACATCCTTGTATAATCCTGTCTGTCAAGGTCCCACTAAAAAACAGACTGCTCAGCTCAATGCTGGTCGGAGTGAACATGTATCTGAAAGCTTGAGTCCTGCATTTCATATCAGCCTGTCAAATCGCAGCTCTTTCAGAATTATTGTGTCCGACTAGTAATTAGATTTCAACAACAAATATTCAAGTGAAAAGACTGTTTCATGAGCCAAAAACCCTGCCTGATCAATGGAAGTAATTTAATTAGACTGTACAGTTTTATCACATGTATTACCATAATGTGACAGGGATATGGATATATGGATTATTGGAAGCAGACAGAGTTTGGGTTATTTTATATTTATTTTATTCCCTCAATCCGCCCCTCCCTGCACATCAAAATTCAGTCTGTCTCTGGATGGGTTGAAGGATTTTCTTTGTTTGTCTCTTTCCCAAACAAGTTAATTCCTGTGTGGCTGGATGTGATCTACCCTGACACCCTGCCGTCTTTAAACAGGTTCTTCAGATCTGATTAAGTACTGATTAACCACACTAAATCAATCAGGTCTGTCGCTCAGCTGGCATAATTGATCCGCGGCCACGTTCTCCGTTAGGTTTGTGATCGGTGAGTAGATTGATCATGCTGGCAGCAGGCACTAGTTGACATTGTCAAGCTCATGTATGGATTTAGTTAGTAATTTATTAGTGAGTATCAATAATATATATATGCACCACTAAGCCATGCACGGCTGGCTTGTAACCACTTTTTATACTGGGTTAACTGGAAGTGTCCAGAGAGGAAAGGTTGCTATGGTACCAGAATTAAAGAATAGCTTGATACTTAATTGTGATCAGATTAAATCAGAGGGGCAATTGTGTAGCACAGTGGATGTCGTGACCCATTTGTCAGCCGACTTGAGTGACAGCTTTGATTAATAACAACATAATCAAATTTGCATATGTGAATATAGAGAAGTGGAAGATAACAGTCTGCCTGCTATGACCTTGATTGGTTTGCTGATATCACTAAAAACAAAACTACGACGCTAACATCTGTCACTAAATTCATAATTTTACTTAAAAAAAACAAGAGATTTTAGTAGAGTGGAAATCTGAACTTTATGAAAAAGGTACCATTCTGGTGGAGATTATCATGGCTATTTCCACAAATTACCCACCTGACATTTTCTTCAGTTTATGTGCTTTTAATCGGAATACTGAACGTCAGACTTCTCACATGAAGACATCAAATGTCCCTCTGTTCTGGCATAGCTAAAACTGACTCAACTTATTGCGGTGCCCTTGCAGAGAATGTTTTTAAATAAAAGCTTCAGTTTTTGTTCAAAAGTCGAGTGAAATATTAAATTTAAGCACACATCTATGAATGGCTTCCTGTGGCTGTCACGCTGTGTGCAAGATGACTACTATCGATGATTGGTGTGCATTTAACACACATTTACCACAACTAAAGATTCTTGTTCTCTCTTAATGAGGCCTCCGGTGGCTTCCTTGTGGTCAAAGCAATAATTTGTGTTTGAATTTGTTGAATATTTATGCTGTAATAATGACTACATTAATGGAAGGCCTACTAATCTACAAAAACAGATTAGTTTGTTCCCATGTGCAGTGGCAATATAACGTATGTCCCATATTGAGAGAAAATGGTGAACATTTAATTTCAACAGACAAAACTTCAAAGTAAGTGACACTTAAAGGGGAACTTCGGCAGATTTTTACCCTAGTCTTGATCACTAGAGGTCCCCGAGTACTGTCGAACAAAAAACCATGCCCTTTTCAAACTCCCATACGTTGTGCCCCAGAAACCTGTACAAAACAGTACTGTCGCGCCCTAACCGTTTTTTCAACCCCCGCTCGCTTCCCACCCGAAAGCCCCAGAGAGTAATCGGATCACGGAGATATACTGCCTTCGCTGACGAAAAAAAAGATCGTTTATTTCCCCCTCAAAAATGATCCATGGTCTTTCCACACCCCGTACCTCTGAACGATTTTCCACACCTTCGCTGCAAGCAAACATTTCTCTTTGTGCGTTTCCCCTCCAACAAGTGAATACCCAACGGGAACTCATAAAGGCGACACTTTCCAGGTAACCAACAGAACGAGAAGAGAGTGGAAGATCGGAGGTGATTCACAAGGGAAGAAGCTGGAAGTAAGAATAACGTGTGTTGATCTACTGTGAGAAAAAATGGTTCGGTTTTTTCCCCAGTGGGGGAGGGATACTTCTTCCTTTCTCCGAGTCCTCCACCTCCTCTTCTTCTTCTGGGCTTGACGCTGAATGCCCGCCCCCTGAAGGTCCCGGGGATTTCCACTTGTTGGAGGGAAACGCACGAAGAAGCAAGTTCTTCCACGGAATGTCGAAAACTGCGCGAGAGTAGTGTGTGAAGGAACAATGGACACTTTTTGAGCGGGAAATAACTGTTTGTTTTTGTCGCGAAGATTATCCTGCTCCGTGTATCGATCTATTCTGCGCTTTCAGTAAGCGAGCCGGACGTGAACCACACCAAAAAAAACGGGTAGGCAGAGCCAGTACTGCGTTCTTGTACGGTTTCTGCACAACGTATTTGATTGAACAAGGCATGCTTGTTGTCATGTAAGGGCCTGATCCATGTTGCACGAGACATTTTAATTACCCATGTTCGTGTCTGTTAGCAGGAGCAAACAGGCACTCTTTAGATATGCCCCAAGAAAGTGTACTTATCAACGAACTGGGCAAGCTCTGGCAGTTAGCTGCAGGATCTCCCAGTTTTGCGCTAGAACCAATTCTGGTCTGTTATATTTTCCTCAG